CCCCAAAACCCCAAAACCCCAAAACCCCAAAACCCCAAAACCCCAAAACCCCTCTTCCTCCTCCAAATTTAAATAACCCAACTCAGCATGGACTCCCAACCCCAGCGCTCTCCTACCAAACTCATTCCTGGGCTCAGCCCAGGAATGGCTTGAGATCCTTCTGATATTGACTGTAGCCTGGGAAGTAAAAGGAGAAAGAGCCTACAACTGGCTGTAGAAGAGAATAAGGTCTGGAAGTAAGCACAAGCAGGTACTATCCCAGTCTTGAGAGAACCTGTTCTTGAAACATCCTTCTGCACACTCAAGGTGGGGCAATTATGTGTACGCCAACTTCAATCCCCCTCAAAAGAACTTCCTGGTTGACTCTAAGTTTATGAATGTTATGGATTGGGAAAATAACCCTAGCGTTTCAGTTACTTTTACAACCAAGAGAAAGTTATTGGGTGGTATTGATTTTTTGAGAGTGCGTAAGATAGATATGACTTATGCTGCAGATGTTGTTAAGGGTAGTAGTTTATCGAGATTTATTAATACTTTGGTCAGAGGTCTTTCCAAATTTTCTGGTGTTCTTCTGATATCTCAGATGCATCTTACTCATAAGCAATTAATGAAGATAATCATTTCTTGCTTTCAATGACAAACAATCACTTTCAGAAGCTGAATTATAGAAGCAGGAAGCCTGAAGAACTACCCGAGAGGTAAGGCTTCACTACAAAGCTTGAGCTTTTATTATTGAGGAGAACTCTCTGGTTGGATGGATCATCCTGAATATCTTGAAAATATCATCAGAGACATCTCTTATCTTCCCTGAATTGATTCATTGATTGAAATATTAATAGAATCAAGAGGACTCAACATTAATGCCCTTAAAGAAATCTCAACAGAATACGACCTCAAAGGTGCAAATCTAATATACAAAGGCATTCTTACCCCAAAAGTATCCCTCACCTAACCCCTCCACCCATATTCCACAAAATTCAACCAACCTTTAACAATTAGGGGTTTTGGGGTTTTGGGGTTTTGGGGTTTTGGGG